AATATAATAAAAAAAAAAAAAAATCTAAGATAAATAAATCTATATATATAAACTAAAAATATATAAATCTAAAATTTGAAAGACGCCCCCAAATCGAAACCTAGATTAAGATCTTTATTTGTATTTAAATCTATGCAATAAATAATATAATATATAAATAATATCATACCAAATACCATATTTCACAGATTAAAGTACCCGGCGTATGAGTAGAGTATGATTTTAGCATAATTGCAGTGATTATATACGTATGTATGACGCAAATGTCATACAGTATTCCGTTGAGTTACCCAGATAAATGGTATTCAGAAATCAATTTCAAAAATATTCACAAATACCTTGTAATTGGCAATAGATGAATCAATGAATGAACCTCCCACAAAAAAAGAAAAGTACCTATTACCAGTAACAAGGATGATAAGGTAGATTTATCACATGATCCTGATTTGTTCTCTGTGGGAAAAAGTCTCATGAATAAATTATCATAATAGAATTTTCCGAAATGGGGGAACATCTACATATGGAATTGTACAACATATTAAGTATTTTTTATTTGTACATCAAATGCCATTTTAGTTGTGAGAATCGATCAAAATAAATAAAAACGAATTAGTGGTTTTGGAAAAAAAAATCTCAATATTCTCAATATAACTCCAAATACCTGTTCCCATGCGCGGTTCATGATTATCAAGGCGTTCAATGTAATAATCCTGCAGATTCATGGGTCGATCAGTCTGTTCATTTTCATTACATCCATCATTGGGAACCCTAAATTTTTGTAACTTGGAATCTGGAAAGGTCCTTTATTGGCGTGTTATCTTGCATAAATATGTATCGTCAATGGTACAATCTCTGTCTAACTTTTAGTTAACTTATGTGTAACTTCATTTCATGCTATTCTTCTCTTGGATGCGTCAATTTTACGAAAATAATCTTAATTCTGCGATCTTAATGTATTGACCAATCTTCTATCCATTTTTTAATGTAAACTTGCGCTGTGAATTTCCATTTTTTGGTTTCTTTGCTTTGAAATTTTCCTGTGAGAAACAAGTTTGTTTTTCTCATGTAATAATGACTATCCATATTTTTAGCTTGAGTTTATGATTGGTACCATCTATGCCAAACGTTTTTGGAAATGCAAGGAGGGCAGGTTCTAGAGCTGGACGCAACTTTCTTAAATATAGGTCACATGAAAAGAAATTGTACCACAAAAAGAACATACAAACAAATAAGATGGCATCCGTAATACCTACGTACGTACGTACCTACCTACGTCTACCTACGTACGGTACGTACGTACCTACATAACTATCTTTAAAATTGCTCAATTATTTAGTTTTATGCTTTCAACTCTAGTGGCGTGTTTCTCTTTTCATTTATATTGTATAGTGGCTTTTTACTTTTCCCGGGAACTCTACTGCCTCTGCACATTTCTACATTGATTTACCGCGTATTATACACGAACGACTACTTGACTTTAAAGTTGCCGAATATACACATATATGCATGTATGTACGTACATTATAAGGGTGATCGGATGCTCATCATTCCAAATTATCGGTATTAGTTTTTATCTGTTTCTCGTTTATCAATCTTGGCGAATAGAGTCAAATGTTTCACTCGAATATTATTTCATATCACGTGAATTCTATTTCAAACCAATAGTCTCCGCGAAGGTGATTTGTGCCTTTCCCCCTAATCTTCAAAAAAACCTTAAAGTTAACTTTTCTTTTTAGGTTGCAATAAACACAAATGTGGAAATAAAGACAACGAAACTGAAAAGCAGCAATTGTTTACGTAGCACCAGAATCGAATTAAGAGATACCAATTATTTATTTTCACCGCGTAAAAAAATCAAAACATCCATCAATTTTGTTACCCTACGACTGAGTACGACATGATAATACGATTTTATCAAAAATACCAATTTCATGGGCTTTCTACTTCGTTAATCTCAGTAAACAAAAATGCATTATTCATTTTTTAAGGATGTAACTTAGTCAGCATCTTGACCCCTATACATGATTCTATATCTTTTTGATTATAACGATAGTGGTTATTAAATGCTAATTCGATTAGTTTATTGCTACCAATGCCTAATAGAAATGCAAAGTTTATATGCACAAGATAACATCTTTTATACGCGCAAGGTTACTGACCCAATCATCTCTAATATTGATCTTTATTGTCAAACTTATTCTCGCGGATTATTGACATGTACTCCAAAGAACTCAATTGTTTTACTAAATAAAAGATTGTTTAGCTTAAAATGTAATACCCCCAAACTTTCTTCAGGGTAATATTATATAATCAGAAAAAACTCACCACGGGTGCTGTCACATGATAAAAATTATAAAAATCGTCGCTATCACAAAGACAATAACGTTGGCTATCGACGATTATAGATATATATATATTTAAAAATATTTTATAGTTAAATCTGTGTAGTTAACTGTGAGTTCTCGATCTATGAGTGAACCTCTAAAAAAATTCTGATGAATGGTCTTTTTTTTTGGTCCAAAATACATGTATATAGATATAGCAATATGAATTTTACTCCTAAATGCAATTTCTCTCTAAGTGCAGGACTCCTTCAAAGTCGCACCTGGAGGGCATCGACTCTGTCTTAAATACGCTTTATAATTAATATATATATATATATATATATAATCTAAACATATATATACATATATTATTAATTTTGCTTTTTTACCCTAAATATTTTGAAATGTAACTTGTTTTTTTTTTAAATATATATATAGTATTGTTTTTTGTTGATATTATGACTTACACTGGTGATTTAATATAGCTAACGCTTGTTGTAAAAAAAATTTTAATTCATATCAATATATCGATATGGGTTAACGTCTAACTATATGATCACGTGGCATTGTGCTTGTGTTATCGTTATGGCTAGAGATTCTACGAATAATACTTATAGGTCGAGGCACGGATAAAATTAGGCATGTCTTCAAGTGCATACCGAGTTGAAGCATGTCTTTTGTGCCCATAGATATTTCTTTTTTGTATTTAATTATTAAATTTCAGCCAACAAAAAATCGCTTTTATTATTCTTTGATAATTTTGTTTATTTTTTATATTATTTAACTATTTATACGTATTTCTAATCCAGAACAGTCTAAGCAAGCTTTAAACTTCTTAAACATTTTTAAATATATATTAAAATTATTCAAAATGTTATTAAGATAATTGATTTTAATTTTTTAATTCAAAATATATATTCAAAATTAAAAAAGATATATATATAATTATATTTTTTTAAAGTTTACATGTAAGTGTTTATTCACGGATATAATTTATTGAATTATAAATTCGTGTAACATATCTATCAAAACAATTGGGCAAAATATATTTTTATGTCAAAATTTACAAGAAATTTTTTGTTAGAAGCCAAAAGATAGTTTTATAATTAAACTTTTGAAATATTTATATTGCCCATATATAAATAGAAGTTCTTTGTTTGTAAATTATTAAAATTTAGTTAGTTTTAAATATTTGGATATTTAAAATATACTGTATTGGGCTTCCTTTTTTTCCTCCTATAACTAATGGTAGCTAGTCTTAAATTAGTTTACAAATAGAAAATTAAGAAGTGTTTTGCTATACTTAGGTATTTATACAGGATATAATAGATAGTTCAAAATTAATATCATCTTGATACAAATCTGTAACTAATCTTATCATATATACAGCAAATTC